CTAACACTCTGTACATATGCATACATAACATACATACAGACAGCATCTAAAAATCGTGTATTGGGACTTTTAGACCATATTTAGTTACCCTCACTAAAAAATTGGAAACTTAAATTTGAGAGATTACAAAGCTTCCATTCGGAAGCAAAAACAGGACAATTAACTATCATTTTTGACTGAGATCAAGTCCGAGAACAAATGTTCATATCTCTAACACTAATAGTCGTTGAGACCTAAATCGAAAATCATTCGGTTCTATAGGAAATGACTCAACTTGTATGCATTGCATGGCTCGAAAACTTCTCAATAGTTTTCGAGATATTTTAAATGAAAGAGACTTAGCCAAGAGGTGTTTTCTTAAAAAAAAGAAAAGTTGGGCTTGGCTTTCCACCGCATTCTTTGCCGGTGCCCTTCCGAGCGTTAAAGGAAAATTCGGAATTAAGGACTTTGGACAAACAATGGACGTCTACCTCGGTTTTGTTCGCCTGTTGACTGGCCTAAAATATAAAAAAACTTATATGAAGTAGATACAGGTCGATGGATCAATAACAGATAAGGATATCAGCCCAAGGAATCCATAGCGCTTACGCTTGTCTGTTATAGAAGTGACGAAGTATGTGCAGGAAATTGACCGACTGACGTTCATCACACGCGAACAAATAGGGCTGAAATTCTTCGCGTTTAGGGCGCCCTAAAAACGTTGAATTTCAACCAATCAGAGCCATGCTACCCGATCGGTAATTCAGGGATTCGGCATACGTGGCTCTGATGGGGTGGAATTTAACCCTAGTCTGGTCACCAAACTCGACCCTGCGACTTTGGTCAACTCCGCGGGGATTTGCCGCCGTGTTATTTAGGCTTTAGCGTTGCCGAATTCACTCTACATTGCCTGGGTTCGTTTAACGAGTTCCCAGCGACGTTGCGTCATTGGCAATATCATTTAATGATAGATTATGCGGGATTGGGACACAATAAATTAACACACTCTATTAACTCGTCAAGATTTATTCAATAAAGCACGTCACTCGTCTCGCGTCTCGCGTCCAACACGTCTCGTACAGGAATGCATGGCACACACGCCGCAACCGGCCTGGGACGAGATCTGCGCATGCGCACGATCTCGTTCCCCTCTTAACTTACACAGATATGTCGTATACTATAGATAATGTTGTATTAGGACCAGGAGCTGGAGCCATATTCCAACACTCCCTCCCGACTGCTTCTGAGTCCTCCTCCATATAAGACCATCATCAAGTTTACGTACTCTTTTTCACTAAACAGACAGTAAGACAATAATTAGATATTTACATTCATTATTTTGTCAACATGGCGCTTATGCAGTTCAAACGCCAGAGGTTTGGTAAACACGTCAGCTAATTGATCTCTGGAACCGATCCAGTTTACTTTGATCAGATTCAGTTTCAGGCATTCTTGAATGTGATGGGCTTTGACATTTACAATACGTCTTAATTTATTTCCCCCACTTACTTCTGCACTACTCGTCGCTGCCTTATTATCGAACCACAATGTCATAGGCAACTGGGGTGGAAATATTAATTTCAGAGAATTGAAAATAGACAACATCTCTTCACTCGCTTCGCTTATCGCAACATATTCTGCTTGAAAAGTAGATAGGGCTACATAAGACTGTTTATGAGTTCTCCAAATAATTGAATCACCAAACAGTTTAATTACAAAACCACATGTAGTCAATGATCCTTTGCAATCAGCAAAGCTAGCATCGGAATATGTTTCAATCACATCAGTCTCACCAGCATATTTCAGACCTAGAGCAGTAGTACCTCTCAAATTCCTTAGTACTCTCTTTACCATTTTCCAATCCTCATCTGTTGGACTCACCTGGTGTCTGCTCAACACATTGACCGCGTAGGAAATGTCTGGTCTAGTCGTCCCTATTAGATATAGTAAGCTACCTACTACTTCTCTGTATGGACAATTCATTCTCTCATCTGTCATAATATAGATCTCACGCGCAACGTCCCATTCTCTCAGTTTGCGCTCATGATTAGATGCCTGTGTAGTTAACATTGAAGTTCTTTGAGGATGTGAATTTTTAAACCCGTATTTAATCAATAATTTCTGAACGTATCTTTCCTGACTCAATTTTAATACTCTGTTCTCTCGATCTCGTTTTATTGAGATATTTAAGAATTCTTTTAGCTCACCTAGAACAGTCATTTCAAATTCAGAACTCAGTGCTGATTTAACCCCATCCAGCTTAAGTTTGTGATTACTCGCCATAATAATGTCATCTACATATAACAATAAGGTTAACAATTTATCCTCATGACTCCAAGTAAATAAGCAAGGTTCTAGATCAGAATTTACAAGTCCTACAATAAAGGCTACTTCAGTGAATTTCTTGTTCCATCGCTTGGGACTAATTCGAAGTCCATAGAGAGACTTCTCCAGCTTACAAACTTTAGTTTCTCTTTTCAGATCAGCATGTGGAGTCCCTTCAGGGATTTCCATGTAAATTTCCTCGTCAATCTCACCATTCAAAAACGGCGTTTTAACGTCCAATTGACATGTATCTAAGTTGTATTTATTGATAATAGCAAATACGGCCCTGACAAAGTGCATTCTGGATACTGGAGCATAAGTTTCTCTTAGTTCGTAAACATTTTGATCTTTAAAACCTCGAATTACTAATCTTGCTTTATGACGTGTCTTGCCTGTCGCTTCTAACTTGCGTTTAAATATCCATCTCGAATCAATGATATTAGCTTTCTGACCATTTTGATTACACATAGGTCTGTCTACCATTTTCCATACATTATCTTTACTCATCGAATTTAATTCCTCTTCTACAGCAACTGTCCATTTATTCTTTTCTACGTCCTGCATGGCATCTTTGAAATTGATTGGATCAGAATTCATATCAGCAAGAAAAGGGTGACAGACCTCGTCAGTTGAATTGTCCAGATCTAACTCACCCTCACCCTGTGATAAACAAGCCAAAAATAATCCAGAACTTGAACTCACGTCGATTGGTAATTTTGTAAGGTTTGATTCTTGCGCTGTTTCACTGCTGGGTTCATCGACCTCTTTTATCTTTGACTTTGGAGTCACTTTTCTCGGCCTACCCCTTTTTCTCTTCGCTACTCCCTCCGATTTGTATGTCTCATCAATTTCGGTAGAACCCTTGTCAAAACCTACAAACCAATCATTTTTGTTTATCACTTCTTGAACTTCCGGGATATCTTTGATCTCACTTCTCTTGTACTTATCACCATAGACCTTTTTCTCATTGAACCTGACATGTCTACTTTCATAGAATTTGCCTTCTTCTGGTTTCTGCAATATGTATCCTGTTGGAGTGTAACCAACCAGAACACCTCTCACACCTATTGCTCTAAATTTAGGTCCTACTTTTCTCTGAACTTTCATGTACGCCAAACAGCCAAATCTCTTTATCTGATTAATATCAAAGCTATGTTTCAGTGCAAACTATTCTAATGGAGTTTTCATTTCATTAGATTTGTGAGGGGTTCGATTGTACGCGTATACAGCGGCAGACAGAGCCAGATCCCACATGTTTTCTGGTAGTTTCGCGTCAACCATGTACGTCCGGACCTTTTTCTGGATTGTCAGGTTGTATCTTTCCAAGACGCCATTATGTTCCGGAGTATCAGGACTCGCCAGTTGTAATTCGGCACCTAATCTTTTCAACATCTCAACTATATGTCCTCCGGTAAATTCTGTCCCTTGATCTGACCTAAGATCACAGACCTTCGCATCGTATCCCAACAAGTTTCTACAACTCCTGACAAACATTTCAAAACACCGACCTGTTTCACTCTTCGCTCTCATCGGGTATGCCATTACAAATCTCGATTTATCGTCAATGAAGACTGATATAAACCTGTATCCTTTCGGATATGTGGTTGGAAATATTGGCCCCATTACGTAAGAATTTATTATTTGCAAAGGTTCTGTTGCTCGACTTCTTATCTTTGGGAATGGCAATCTGTTGAATTTAGAAGCTAAACAAACCTCACACTCCATTATTGACTCATCAAAAATCACGTCTCTTAATTCTTTGTTATCCGGGAATTTTAATTGAATTGCTTTGAGATATGCTATTGAAGCATGACCAAACCTAGCGTGCCACAGTAAGGCTTTATTATGATTACTACGAAATTTATCGTTATCATCCACAAACGTATCAAAAGTCTCGTCACTTTCGTAAAGTCTTACTTCATCTACATTATTTATTTTCCTGTCCCAAATTGACAAATCAAAGTTCGAGTGTATGAGAGGATATAAAATTGATTTGGGGTTTTCTATTGTGGAGGTGAGCAGGTTATTAAATGACAACTCCAGAGATCCAACGTTGAGCGAAATATCTTTGAGTTTTTAAACGTTAATATTTACAAGAGTGGAGAGTTAGTCGTAAGAAGACTTGTCCTCTCTGTTGATGTGTTGTCCAGTGGTTGAGCGATGAGTGAATGTCGAGTGAATGATTGACTGATGATGAGTGTGGAAAGTGTGCGGTATTTAAGGAGAGTGCAAGGATGTGATTGGTGGAAAATTTGGAGAAGGGATGAGTAAAATCCTGGCTTCCGATTGGTTCGGCGCTGTAAGTTCCCGCCGGTGAGCTGTGATTGGCTCGGGGGTCCCGGCGGGGAAATTTCCGTCGTGACGTCACGGGCGCCAGTCAGGCGGACGAGGGATTATGGACGCCAGGTGATGATGAGGGATTAGGACGCATGGAGGATTATGGTAATAAACGGGTCATGAGGTTTGTGATACGGAAATGGATTTTTAATGTGGGAATTGGCCCAATGTTTCGACAGGAAAATTGGGGAATTGGCCCAATGTCGAAAGAGGAAAATTGAGTGTGTATGTGTGTGCGTGTCTGACAGAGATGTAATGGAGACACAGTCACCACAGTACCCCCCTGCCAGTGATTTGGAGCACGATAAGAGTGATGTGTGAATGTGTCCTGTGTGCATGTGTAAGATAATTGAAGATATTTACAAAAATCCGGACTGGTAGCGCTCGGCGAATCTGACGCGTCTTCCTGAGCGCGTTGTCGGGGGTGTCGTTGCTGGTGGTGGTGGCTGCACTGGCTGCGATGGTACCTCAGGCTCGGGAGTAGGTGTCCTTGGGCTGGGGTGCTGAAAGCCTGGCACGTCATCAGCGATGACGTAAGCCGGTTTCAGCCTGTCGATGGAGACCTTTACGTCCTTGCCCTTGATGTGGACGATGAACGCCTTCGGATTACGTCGGATGACCTTGAAGGGTCTCTGGTATGGCATCTGGAGAGGGCCCTTGGGTGCGTCATGCCGGACGAAGACTTGCTCTGCTGTGGCCAGGTCCTTGAACACGAAGGTTTTGTGTTCTCCGTGGCGTTTGACCTTGGCGGGGCGCAAGTTGGAGAAATGCTGGCGGAGCTCCTTGACGTAGTCAGCCGGGTCGTCCTGATGGCTGACTCCTCTGGGGGCGAGAAACTCTCCAGGTAGGCGTAGGGGTTCGCCGTAAGCCAGTTCGGCTGCTGATGCCTGGAGATCCTCCTTCCAGGCTGCTCTGATGCTCAAGAGAACGGTGGGAAGCACCTCTGTCCACCTGGCGTTGTCGTGGCACTTGATGGCTGCCTTGAGCTGTCGGTGGAGGCGCTCGACCATGCCGTTGGCTGCTGGGTGGTAGGCAGTTGTCCTCAAGTGAGTCGTACCTGCCAAGCTGTTGAGATGCTTGAACAGATGTGACTCAAATTGCCGCCCTTGATCGGTGGTGATACGAAGGGGAACACCGAAGCGGCATATCCACCCCTCGTAGAAGGCTCTGGCAACAGTGTGAGCTTCCTGGTCCTCCAGTGGGAATGCCTCAGGCCATCGGGAGAAGCGGTCGATGCATGTGAGGCAGTATCGACGGCCCTCCGAGCTGGAGAGGATGATGAGGTCCATGTGGACGTGCTCGAACCGAGATGATGGTGGTGCGAACGATGCCACTGGAGCTGACACGTGACGTGTAACTTTGGTTTGCTGACACTAGATGCACGAGCGAGCCCACTCGCGACAGTCTGTCTTGATGGATGGCCAAACGTAGCGTTGAGTCGCCAGTTTAACCGATGCGTTGATCCCTGGGTGAGCCAGACTGTGGATGGTGTTGAAGGCTGCTTTGTGGAATGGTGGTGTCAGGAATGGCCTTGGTGATGATGATGACGTATCACAGAAGACAGCTACGCCTGCTCCTGGGATCTGAACTTGCTTGAGTTGCAAGCCAGACCCTGTGCGTAGGAATGTCTTCAGCTCCTTGTCATCGTGCTGTGATGCGGCCAGGGCCGTGTAGTCTAGGGGCAGCGTGACTTCCTCGATACGGGACAGTGCGTCAGCGACGACGTTGTCCTTGCCCGAGACATGGCGGATGTCAGTGCCGAACTGACTGATGAAGTCGAGATGACGGGACTGCCTGGGTGATGACTTCTCTGGCTTCTGGCGGAATGCGAAGGTGATGGGTTTGTGGTCGGTGTAGATGGTGAACGTCCTGGCTTCTACCATATGCCTGAAGTGTTTGATGGCTAGGTAGATTGCCAGGAGTTCACGGTCGAATGCGCTATATTTTCTCTCTGCTGGGTTGAGTTTCTTGGAGAAGAAAGCCAGCGGCTCCCAGTCTCCGTTAATTTGTTGCTGCAACGCTGCGCCCACGGTGTGGTCGGAAGCATCGCAGATGAGTGCGAGCGTGGCGTCGGCCTTGGGATGAGCCAGGAGTGTGGCGTCTGCAAGGCTGGTCTTGCAGGTGGTAAAGGCTGCTTGAGCTTCTGGAGTCCAGTTGATGGGCGTTTTTCCTTTGATGTTGCCCTCTAGGAGCCCGTTGAGCGGGGCCTGGTCCTGAGCAGTTCTGGGTATGAATCTCCGGTAGAAATTCAGCATACCCAGGAACTGGCGAAGCTGTTTGGCTGTCTGAGGTGTTGGGTAGTCCAGGATGGCTTGAACTTTCTTGGGCAGCGGCCGAGTGCCCTCCTTGGATACCAGGTAGCCCAGGAACTCCACTTCTGGCTGGCCGAGGACGCACTTCTGTGGATTGATGAGGAGGCCATACGACTGGAGTCGCTCGAACAGGATCCTGAGGTGTTGGAGGTGCTGCTCTGGAGTTTCCGACGCTATCAGGATATCGTCGATGTAGGCGTAACAGAAATCCAGATCCCGTAGTACCTCGTCAATGAAGCGTTGGAACGTCTGGGCAGCGTTGCGTAGACCGAACGACATGTACAGGAATTCGAATTCGGTGTAGTGATGGCCGTCTTCTGGATGTCCTCCTCAGCAACAGGGATTTGGTGATATGCTCGGACCAAGTCGATCGTTGAAAAGATCTGCTTGCCCCGGAGCGTCTGGGAGAAGTCCTGGATGTGGCGAACGGGATAGCGGTCTGGAACTGTGCGTGCGTTGAGTGCACGGTAGTCTCCACAGGGCCTCCACTCGTCGTTCTTTTTCTTCGCCATGTGTAGAGCTGATGACCATGGGCTGTTTGAAGGTCGAGCAGTGCCAAGTTGAACCATGATGTGGAATTCCTTCTTGGCATCTGCGAGTCGGTCCGGAGCCAGTCGTCTGGGTTTGCTGTTGACCGGTGGTCCTGGTGTGGTCTGGATGTGATGCTTGGTGTTGTGCTGCGGAGGTTTACCCGTCCCGTCTGGTCTGGTGAGGTTGGGGAACTGCTGGAGAAGCTCGTGGTACTGCGATGTGCCTGTCACCATCTTGATACTCGGCAAGTCAACAGCTTCGACTTGACCGAGTGAGATGAGTGAGGTGAGAGAGTCCACGAGCCTCCCGTTGCGTAGATCCACCATTAGTCCGTAGTGGAACAGGAAGTCCGCTCCGATGATGGGCTTGGAGACATCAGCGATGACGAAACGCCAAGGAAACGTCCGCCGAAGTCTCAGGTTAAGTGCGATGTTGATGGTGCCGTAGGTAGGGATGACTGTGCCGTTCGCCGCCGATAGCTCGTATGTGGATTTACGCTGTGGCCCACGCACAAGTCGCCGCGGGAAAACGCACAGGTCTGCTCCGGTGTCGATCAGGAAGCGCACCTTGGTCTCCTGGTCGGTGATGAAGAGGCGGCGGGTCGTTGATCTTGAGTCACTAGCCGCCATTAGTGACTGCTTGTCCCGTTTCCCAAGGCAGTGAAGTTGCACGGCTGCGTGCAGGTCCTGGCGTTGGGGCCAAACTTCCAGTGGTACCAGCAGGGGCCGTTGATCCCATCCTGTCGGTGCTGAGAACGTGACTTGGATCTGCCACGTCTGAATCCCCATCCTGGAGGTCCCCCGTCAGCTCTGCTCAACCGTTTGAGGCTCTCGATTTCGCCTCGCATCGAGTTGAGTTTCTCGTCGAGGGTGAGGGAGAGTTGGGAGAGCTTGAGACTCAGGAGTGCCTCGATGCTGTGGACAGATGTCTCGGCGATCTGTGGGGCGACTGCTGGGATCCTTGGCTTTAGGATCTGGATGGTCTTGTCGGCGAGTTCTGCGGCGTCCTCGAGACTGGCGTTGCGTTGTGTGACCAATAATGCCTGGACGTCAGCTGGAAGGCGTGTGACCCACAGTGTCCGGAGAGTGTCGTCGGGGAAGCTGGATCCTGCCAGGCTCTTAAGGTGGCGCAGAAACTGAGACGGTTTCATGTCTCCCATCTCTGCGCTCTCCAGGAGT